CCGCGCGGCCGCGCCTTTGTCTGCACCATGCCCCGCCCGCACGCAGCCCTGGCCCCATCCCTAGTCTCCTCCTGGGCCTGTCTCAGCCCCTCTGTGGCCCTGGCCCTGTCTCTTTCTCTCCGTCTCTATACCTCACTCTGTCTCTCTCCGTCCCTATCTCTCTGTCTCTGTTCATTCTCTGTCTGCTCTGTCCCTGTCTTCCCATCTCTGTTCCTTTCTCTGTGTCTCTGTCCCCATCTCTTTCTCTCTGTGTTCCAATCTCTTTGCCTCTGTTGCTTTCTCTGCCTCTGTCTCTCTCTCTGTCTCTCTGTCTGTCTCTGCCTGCTGCCCATGTCTCTGACTCTATCTTTGTTCATAAAACTCTACACATGTTGTTCTTGTAGACGTGCAATGCACATAGGCACAGCCAAGCTTCTCAGCTCTGCAATCTAAAAATAAGTCTAGTTTTGCTTAACCTGGCCTTCCTCCAATTTTTCCTTTATGCATGGTGAAACCCGTCACCCTTTCTGGGTAACACCCGCCAAGGCACAGATTTGGGATATTCGTCCCCTAGTGTTTTCAGCCTCCTACCCAGATGGCGGGTCACCGCTGTCCCCGGAGGCCTCCAAGTGCTAGATGTGAGTGATGGTTTCCGGAGAACCTTAGGCAGGGCTGGGAAGGGCTGGGGGCAAACTTGCCTTGGAGACACAGATCCCCACTGCCAGCCAGGAGAGAGAGTGGAAATCAGCTCCTGGCGGCTGGGCCGCGATGTTCTCCACTAAATATAAACAGTGGCCACAGAATATAAACAATGATGAGACAAGGCCACTCTGTGACCATGTCTGAACCAAGATAGAGACATGGGCCCTCTGCAACCACAAAAATGAGTTCTCATCCCCCTCTCCCAGTGAACACAAATGACTGCCACTTCTTACCGACCACAAATCCAACCCAACTTCCATCCTCCCACCTCTGAGATAAAAATCACCGAAATACCTACTCAGCAAAGTGCTCCCAGCTTCCCAACAATACCACCCTAGTAATTCTCTTTAAAACCACCCAATATAGGCTGGGTGTGGTGGCTCACACCTGTAATCCCAATGCTTTCGGAGGCCAAGGGGGGCAGATCACGAGGTCAGGAGTTTGAAACCAGCCTGGCCAGCATGGTGAAATCCTGTCTCTACTAACAATACGAAGATTAGTCGGGCGTGGTGGCGCACACCCGTAATCCCAGCTACACAGGAGGCTGAGGGAGAAGAATTGCTTGAACCCAGGAGGTGGAGGTTGCAGTGAGCCAAGATTGCACCACTGCACTCCAGCTTGGGCAACAGAGCAAGACTGCATCTCAAAAACAAAACAAAGACCCAAACTAACAAGTACAAGCCCAAATTCTATAAGATGCTCCTCTGCCCCCACGTCCTCCTTATAGAGACACCCTATGGTTCCTTCTTCCTTCCTGAACCTTCTAGATGTGTGTTGGACTCATAGCCTGAGACCTGCTTTCCATCTTTCCGTAGAGCCCACAGCAGATCTGAGAGATTGGAGATAACTTCAATTGGATTATGCCCCTAGTTCCTTATCCTGCCACTTCCTGGATGATCCCATTATAAATACTTGTGATGACATCTGTTGTTTCTTTGGCTCAGAATCTAACAGTACTTTCTTTTCCTTCGTGGAGTCCCCTCCACTACTCCAAATGGACATATGTCTAACACCCCTTCCCAGTCCCATGTGATCTGGACTCTAATCAAAGGGCCCCATCCCCTGGCCACAATAATTAGGTATGGGATGAGAAGGTGACATTGGAGGTTCTCATTCTACCTCTGGGATTATGAGCCACAAGGAGCTCATTCTGTCTGCAGTCACCTTCCCCAGTTGTTCAAAAGAACAGTCTGCAGACTGAGGCCAATATGCACCAAGATGTACAAGTAAGAGTCAGAGAGATAGCTCTGGCTATATTTGTTAAGCTCCTGGATATAGCTGTACCTGAAGCCAGAGAACTCATTCTTTCCTATACCACAAACCCACAAATATTCTGGGTGTTTGAGCTAGTTTTAGTGGATGTCTGTTCCTTGCATCCGTGACAGTCTTAACTAATTTAGGAATTATTACCTGGAAAGGAAAGAGAAATAAAAAAAAAAATCTTAAAAATAAAACCTTAAAATGTGGAACCAACTAAAGGAAGATGGGGTAGAGAGCCAGGACTGCCACACACATGGACTATAAAGTGAACAGGGCACCTTAGATTATGTAATGCACAACCTGTCTAGATGTACACAGGGGCTATGTAAAAGAGCTTTCCCCCAGAAAACTAGAGTTATGTGGAAGAAAACCAGCTGATTAAATTGTTGCCTGGCTAAGCGCGGTGGCTGACACCTGTAATCCCAGCACTTTGGGAGGCTGAGATGGGCGGATCGCTGAGGTCAGGAGTTTGAGACCACCCTGGCCAACATGGTGAAACCCCATTTCTACTAAAAATACAAAATTAGCCGGGCATGGTGGCAGGTGCCTATAATCTTAGCTACTCAGGAGGCTGAGGCAGGGGAATCACTTGAACCTGGGAGGTGGAGATTTCAGTGAGCCGAGATCGCGCCACTGTACTCCAGCCTGGGCAACAGAGCAAGACTCTATCTCAAAAATAAAAAATAAATAAATAGTAACCTATTTTATCATGGAACTCTAACCATGCGTCTCCTAAGGACCAGAATATTGGAATATAGGGAAGCTTTCTTTCTTTTTTAGAGACAGGGTCTCATTGTGTCACCCAGGCTGGAGTGCAGTGGCACAATCGTAGCTCACTGCAGCCTTGAACTCCTGGGTTCAAGCTATCCTCCCACCTCAGCATCCTGAGTAGCTGGGACTACAGACGAGTAGCTGGGGACTCAGCCTCCTGAGTAACTGGGACTACAGCCACCATGCCTGCCTATTATTATTATTTTATTTGTAGAGATAGGGTCTCACTATGTTGCCCTGGCTGGTCTCGAACTCCTGGCTTCAGCAATCCTTCCAACTTGCTGGGACTACAGGTGTGAGCTACCATGCCTGGCCTGGGGCCTGGAGCAGCTTTCATGCAATCTTCAGCAAAGTCTTGCAAGAAAGACACAAGTTTCTGGAATGTGTTCCTTCTCAAAGCAGAGACTTATCTGCTTCATCTTGTGAGATTGTCAGAGCTGAATTTTCTGTTCCAGGCTAAAAGGTGAGGCAGATGATGAGGTGGAAGATAAGACTGGGATTATGGGAGAACATCTGACACCCTAAGCTACTCCCAAACACTGAACATTCCTTGTCTACAAAGCTGACGATCACTCTCACTGGGAAGAGCCTATTAGCTGAGCTAATCCACCCTCCAGATTGCAACCTGGGGCAGGACACAGATCTGTCCTTAGGAGACACAGTCAGTTAAGTTTGGGCTCCAGCGCTGTGATCCTGACTGGGTTTGGGGAACTAAATAACCTAGGGGTGGGCTCCTGAGCTGGCCAAGCCAATCACAATATTGTTTTCCTCTAGGCACAGTGATTGGTCCACAACTGGGTGTGTGATTCCAATGGGCCAATCAGCCTGTTCCTTAAATTCCAATATGGGTCCCGGTGTGGTGGCTCACGCTTGTAATCCCGGCACTTTGGGAGACTGAGGCGGGTGGATCACTTGAGGTCAGGAGTTCAAGACCAGCCTGGCCAACATGGTGAAATCCCGTCTTTAATAAAAATACAAAAATTAGCCGGGCATGATGGTGCATGCCTGTAATCCCAGCTACTTGGGAGGCTGATGCAGGAGAATCACTTGAACCCGGAAGGTGGAGGTTGCAGTGAGCCATGATTGCAGCACTGCACTCCAGCCTGGGTGACAGAGTGAGACTCTGTCTCAAAAAAACAAAACAAAACAAAACAAAAACAAAAAACTCAATAGAGGGAGCATGTTGGAAAGACCCTGCCCTTCTCTAGGGGCTTTAATCATTAGCATTGGTAAATACTACCAACATCTTCCTTTGCTGTTGTTTGGAGGGACACAGGACTGAGAGATGGCCAGGGAGACACAGTCCTGATGCAAAATGCCTGATATTAGACCCAATTCCAGACTCAGACTTTCTTGTTTCTTTCTCTGTGTGTGTGTGTGTGTGTGTGTGTGTGTGTGTGTGTATTATTTTTGAGACAGGATCTTGCTCAGTTGCCCCGGCTGGAGTGCAGTGATAATAACTCACTGCAGCCTCAATCTTCTGGGCTCAAACAATCCTCCCACCTCAGCCTCCCAAGTAGCTGAGACTACAGGTGCATGCCACCATGCCCAGCTAATTTTCTAAATTATTTTTAGTAGAGATGAGATCTCACTATGTTGCCCAGGCTGGTCTTGAACTTCTGAGTTCAAGTGATCTTCCCGCCCCAGCCTCCCAAAGTGTTGGGATTGCAGGCAAGAGCCACCATGTCTGGCTTTTTTCTAAATCAATGAAATTCCTTTTTTTCCCTTGAGTCAGATAGAGCTTGGTTTCTGTCGCTTGCAACAAAATGATGTAAGACATTAACACATTTAGTCACCATTCATTGAGCTGCAGCCAAGTGCCAGGCCCTCTTCTGAGCATGGTACATGCACCTTTTATTTAATTCCTGTATATACTCTCTGAAACGGGAACTATTTGCATTCCCATTTTACAGAGAGGGAAAGTGAGGGTCAGGGTGTATTCCTGCCTAAGGACAGAAAGGCAGGTCTGAATTCTGCTGCTGGGTGATGCTTTCCATTGAGAAAGTTGTTTTCCTTTAAAAATTAATCTTGGTGACCAGGCACGATGGCTCATGCCTGTAATCCCAGCCCTTTGGAAGCCAAGGCAGGCAGATCACGAGGTCAGGAGTTCAAGACCAGCCTGAGCAATATGGTAAAGCCCCGTCTCTACTAAAAATACAAAAATTAGCCAGGCACGGTGGCGGGCACCTGTAATTCCAGCTGTTTGGGAGGCTGAGGCAGAAGAATCGCTTGAACCCAGGAGGCGGAGGTTGCAGTGAACTGAGATTGCACCATTGCTTTCCAGGCTGGATGACAAGAGCGAGACTCCGTTTTGGGAAAAAAAACAAAACAAGCAAACAAACTTAGTTTCTCACATTCAATTCGATATTATTTGTCTTAATCCCTAGGCTTTTTGGGGGAGGAAGGGGGTAAGTGGAATATAGGAGGGTTAGTCATAAATCCATAAAATACATCCAGAATCATCCTGATGTAATGTCTTTCCCCGAGGATTAAACATTTCCAGTACAGTTTCTGTTCTTCCCTGGCAAGCCATGCTAGGGCTGGTCATTTTCATTGTTAGAAAACGCTTCAAGTTGTGCTGAAATCCAGCTCTTTTTAATAGCTATGGACTGTTTTCATCTAATGCCTAAGGCTGTTTTCAACTATTCCAGGCCAGGCACAGTGGCTCACGCCTTTAATCCCAACACTTTGGGAGGCCGAGATGGGTGGATCACTAAGTCAGGAGATCAAGATCATCCTGGCTAACACAGTGAAACCCCATCTCTAAAAACAAAAAAAACAAAAAAAACAAAAATTAGCCGGGTGTGGTGGTGGGTGCCTGTAGTCCCAGCTACTGGGGAGGCTGAGGCAGGAGAATGGCATGAACCCGGGAGGTAGAGCTTGCAGTGAGCTGAGATCATGACACTGCACTCCAGCCTGGGTGACAGAGCAAGACTCTGTCTGAAAATAAATAAATAAATAAATAACAAATAAATAAACCATTCCTGGCATGAGGCAGGAAGATAATCCCACAACTACAGCTACATAGAACTTAAGACCAAATAAACATTCTGAGCTTCCCAGCAGGCAAGGCAAAAAGGGAAAACCTTTCTGTTCTAGTAGTCTGGTCACTAGACAGACCAGCTTCATCAGAAGAGGATGAGCTTACCGCAGTGATTTCCAACCAGGGCAATTCTCTCCCATCCAGAAGATATTTGGCAATATTTGGACATTTTGTTACAAGTGGGAGGGAGAGGTGCTACTGGCATTTAGTGGGTAGAGGACAAGGATGGCACTAAATATCCTACAGTGCACAGGAGAGCCTCCAATAAAGAATGACCTAAGACATCAATAAACGACAAGCCCTGGTTTATCCTGAAGTAACTCAGAAAAGCATGATGCCAAATATCTTTAGAGGACACATTCTACAGCCGGCAGATTCTTGCATGGTCAATGTGGATACCATGTGTGGTCCAAAGGGTCATCTTGTCCCTACAGGATGCAAAGCTGGATTCCCTCCTGCCTTTCTTGCAGAAATGACAACCTGGCCTAGAAGAACTGATGCCAACCAGGAAAGGGCTCCTGGGCAGGGCTGAGATTGGCTCAACCTCATGGTTCATTGGATTGGGGTCCTTGGTCTTTGGAGGTTTGATTCTCGGTTCAGGAAAGCCATATTCACTCCTTGAAACTGGACATTCAACAGCCCACAGAGGCAGGCACCTTACCCCAGACAGACCTTACCCCAGACAGACCTTTCTCCTCACCACGCCCTGGACCTTCAAGGTCAGGCGCTGTCCAAGGTACTGGTCCTTACTAAGCCCTGTCACTCACTTGTTGCAGAGCCCCATCACATCCTCCTCCTTTTGACCCTTTACATTTTATCTCTGGCTGAACACTTACCCCCTTGAACCTGGTAATGTCTTGATGGCTTTTGTCAATTTGCCTCTGGACTCTGCTCTGACCTGGGGGCCAGTTTCCCAGACAGTCAGTGCCCCATTCGGTCTCTAGTCTCTGCCCATGATGGAAGAAACTGCTGGGCTATTGTCAACTGTGTCCACTCCTCCATGTCCTCTACAGGCCACACCCAGTGTCCCCACCATTGAAAGCTTTTTCCCCACACCCTGGCCTTCCCCACTTTCATCCTCAGAAGGGGAGCTTTCCCTCCACGACCCCAGCCACATGCACTGAAAAGTGTGGACATTTCTCATGTTTAACAGTCTTATGGGAGAGTTGCTACTTATCCCCGTTTCATAGATGAGCAAATTGAGGCTCAGCAGGGTTAGGTGACTTGCCCAAACTACTCTCCAGGACATGGAGGAGTCAGGGTTTGGACTATGTCCATCCAGCCCCCACAGGGATCTATGTTCTCAAGCACACACACCAATATCTCTGTTCAACACTACAACTTTTTTCATTTTGTCTTTTTTTGAGACAGAGTTCTTGCTCTGTTGCCCTGACCGGAGTGCAGTAGTGCAATCATATAGCTCACTGTAGCATCAAATTTCTGGGCTTAAGTCATTCTCCCACCTCAGCCTCCTGAGTAGCTGGGACTACAAGCATGTACCCCCATGCCTGGCTTTTTAAAATTTTTATTTATTTATTTACTTACTTGCTTACTTATTTATTGAGATGTAGTCTCGCTCTGCTGCCCAGGCTGGAGTTCAGTGGTGTGATCTCACTGCAACCTCCGCCTCCCAGGTTCAAGTGATTCTGTGCTTTAGCCTGTCGAGTAGCTAAGATTACAGACATGTGCCACCACGTCTGGTTAATTTTTGTATTTTAGTAGAGATAGGGTTTCACCATGTTGGCCAGGTTGGTGTCGAACTCCTGATCTCAGGTGATCCGCTCACCTTGGCCTCCCAAAATGCTGGGATTATAAGTGTGAGCCACTGCGCCTGGCCAATTATTTTTTGTAGAAACAGGATCTCCCTATGTTGCCCAGGCTGATCTCAAACTCCTGGGCTCAAGCAATCCTCCCATCTCAGCCTCCCAAAGTGTTGGGGTCACAGGTGTGAGCCACCGCATCCAGCCTTGACTCCATACTCTTCATGGCAACACAGCAACAATGGAGTCATCCTTTCCCGTGCAGTCCCTTCTCCCAGCCCCCACCCACCGAAGCATCCTCTTGACTGGTTGACTGATGGGAAAGAATGGAATGTTGCCAAGGTGGCATTTATTACTGGCTGGGGCACAGGTACATAGGGGGCTGGGGAGCCCGAGGGTCTATCTTCTCCCTGCAGCCATGCTGGTGAGGTGTGCCCAGGGGCCCGAAGCCCTCCTGAGGATTTTTCAGTCTCAGGGCTGCTGGACCCTGATACTTGAAAGGAAAGTCGTCCTTGTATTGGGTTGAGAAGAAGCGCAGTCCACCCAGTGGGGGCTCCATGTGACTGTACTTGCACTGTGGAGTCAGGGTGGACAGCCTGGCAGGGCAGCCTGGGAGGTGGCTGACCCACCCTGTCCACCCCAGGATCTCCAGGCCTAATGAGTCAGGGGCTGGGGCCAGGCAGGACAGGCTAGTTGGTCAGTGCAGAGCCAATGTCTGACGAAGGAGGATGGTTAAGACTGGGTAAGAGAGGATAGGGAAAGGGGCAAGGCTATGACCAGAAGGGTGGAGTTATACAAGCGTAGGACATGGCTACGAAGGGACCGAATTGTCCAGGGGTGGAGTTTGGGCTCTGGTCAATTTGGGGTGGGATTTAGCCCTTCAGGAGGTGAAGCCAGGGGAAGGGTGGGGCCGGTTAGGGGCAGAGCCAGAGCATCAAAGGCTGGGGAGGTTGAACCCTGGGGAGAGGTGGATAAAAAGGGCCCCAGGCGAGGCTGAATAAGGAGCTGGATAAGAAGCTGGAGAGTAACCAGGGGTGTCCCTGGAAGGACTCCAGGGCTGGGGTGATCCTCGGTGGCTCTGAATTAACCCTTGTCTTGGGTATAACAGTGGTGGTGGTGCAAAGATGCCCCTGAGCTGCCCTGGACAGGACCCTGGGGAGTGAGCTAGGGATTATCTCTATTTTTTTTTTTCCTTTTTTTGAGGCAGAGTCTTGCTCTGTTGCCCAGCCTAGAGTGCAATGGCACGATCTTGGCTCACTGCAATCTCTGCCTCCCCAGTTCAAGTAATTCTGTCTCAGCCTTCCGAGTAGCTGGGATTACAGGCATGCACCACCATGCCCGGCTAATTTTTGTATTTTTAGTAGAGACGGGGTTTCACCATGTTGGCCAGGCTGGTCTCAAACTCCTGACTTCAGGAGATCCGCCTGCTTCAGCTTCCCAAAGCGCTGGGATTACAGGCGTGAACCACCGCACCCGGCGAAGCTAGGGATGATCTTGAGGCTAAAGGGATATTAAGATGCCCCCGGCCGGGCGCGGTGGCTCAAGCCTGTAATCCCAGCACTTTGGGAGGCCGAGACGGGCGGATCACGAGGTCAAGAGATCGAGACCATCCTGGCTAACACGGTGAAACCCCGTCTCTACTAAAAAATACAAAAAAACTAGCCAGG